GCCATCTAATAACAGTTTTAACTGTTACAATACAACTTGCCATATAATGAAAACTGATATCACCGAGAGTATTTTCTTAACAAGTAAGCTATTAGGATCTACTATTAGCACCTAACACCAATTTCAAAAAGATATCAATACTGGATACAATGCGGGCTACGAGTCACAAAGATATTAATCAGTAAATAAGTATATTAAATAAAAAGGCTTGGGTTCCGTACCCTCCGGAGACGGTTGCATCAAACGAGAAGGAGATGAGAACTAGACCTGGTGCAATGACGGGAACATGATGCAACTATCTAGGGTAAAGGAAGTGAAGGAGTCGCTGAAGTGTATTGCTCTGCCATCTGTGGCGTTTACCATCGCTTCCGCGCCTACCGTCACCTTACACCCACCGTTTTCTTCTTGTATGCTTCTTCTTTCTTTCCTCCTTCCTTCATTTGTTTTCTTTCTAGTATCTCTCTCTTCACTTTGTCTCTCATATTTCTCCTTTCCCTATTTTCTCTTCTTTCCATATATGGATAGGTGAGATAAAATCGTATTTTTCAATAAGATTTTTTAACCTCACTTCTAATAGAGACAAAATGGTATTAATCAAAATTTCACAATGCACAAAACATGGAAGGAGTAGTTTTCTAATATTGGTCTGAAATGTGTATATCTATCCTAATTTCTCTAGCAACTATGCTAAAATTGAAGATAGGATACATGTTACACATGTGTTTAGATATGTACGTAAGCATCAACACTTTTATCCTTCAAATATACACAATTATAAACACGGAAAAATACCCTTGCGGATCCAAGCCAAAACTCTTGTAATTTTCTTAATTTAAAGAAAGTATAAACCTTTTTAAACATCATTATTTTTAATGAATACAAAGAAAATATAGGAAAATATTTGATGTAAGTTTAGTTTCCTAGGTGTACAGGCTTCCAGCTCAAGCTCTCTATCTCTCTCGTCTGTGTGATTGATCAACCAAGAAGTAAAGCAAAAAATTACACACAAAGAATTATAGAGTTTCCCTAACTTTGGGTACTTCTCTCTTTAGGATCTTTGCCTAGAATTCACTAGATCATATAGTTTGTTACAGAAGAAGATGAATCTCTCTCTTGTCTAAACACCAAGACGATGATGACTTGAGTATATTCGACTCTTGAGGTTCTGAGCCAAAGGACAGTCTTTAGGCAGATGGGCCAACGCAACCAATCACCTGACCCGATCCATTCTTCTGTTCTGACGCTAAACCTCTTCAACACAACTCAAGCCCACATGATGATCTATGTTGAGCTGTTGAACCAATCCTCAGAATTCTCCACCTTTGTTCTACCTGCTCAAATTCGAATATGGCGGAGCCAATGAACAAGCATATGGGTGAGTTTACCCATATCAAATTTAAAATTGTAATATACATATATTGATTAATTGGTTGAATTTCATTAGTTTGACCAAACTTAATAGATAGCTAAGTTTATATACATAATTATTTGACCCTAGTGGCTTTTTCTTCTAGCTCTGCCCTGATGATGACTTTGACATTCACTTATGAATTTTTATCCTGGTATTATTTAACTAAGCGCATTAGACCATTCCAATCCTGATACCTGGTTAAGAATCTTTCAATTTCTTTTTTTATTATTATAATCTTTTTCAGTTGAAAAAAAGATAATTAATGGCAAGTCACCACCTAATAGCGGGACCTGCGAACAGTTACAATACTCCAAGCTAATTGATCCATAAATAAAGATATGAAAATGCCAATCTTTAATATATTGCAGGATCCATCAATTTTTTTACTATTTTCTATCTAAGTTTTAGAGATAAAAAAACTGGCAAAAAACTTTATTGGAGTTGCCCTTATAGCCGGTACATCCTCCAATGCGTCTAACATCCAGAGCAACAGTATCGTGGATTTCCTCCGGCGAGATACCATGCAAAGGAGAGACAACCAGAGCAACAGCGTCTTGAGTCTCCTGCTTTTACTATTAGAAATATTTTCAAATTTTTGTTTATACACTATATTTATTTTATTATTTTGCTTCATTAGTAATTAATTATGAAGTGTTTTATTTCATAATTTTAAAATTTCATGATTAAAAACATATTTCCGATAAGAAATTATCTTATTTACTATATAATATTTTCGGCTAATTTTTATTATATTAATATATAATTATTTAACTAATTGAATAAATAAAATTAAAACTGTAACTCTTTATTAAGAGTATGAATAATTTTAGAGAAATTTTCTCAAATAGTTTTTTTTGAAGTTTCTGTCATAAAAATAGTTTTGTGAAATTAGAATGACCAAAATAGCTTTTTTATCTTGAAATTTGTAATATTTATCTTTAATTTTTTAAAATTTGAAATCATATCCCTAAAATCTTACTCTTTAACTTTAAACCCGGTCTAGATTAGTTAACTCTAGGATGTACAAATATATTTATCCTTTAAATAAAATATTTTTTGATCATTGTCCTTTTTAAAAACTATTTGTGTGAAATAAAATAAAAAGAACTAACCAAGAGAATTTCTCATAATTTTAAATACTTATATTTTAAACTAAGAACTTATATAGCAGTATAAAATATCATTTCTTAAATAATAGTATAATACATTTCAACTTATCTTATAATTATTTAACCATATCATTTCTTATTTTTGGGGAAATTTTATATTTATCACAAACTTAATTTCAGTTTTCAAATTTATTGTAAAATATTAACATTTTCATAGATATCCTAGATTTGTGATAAAAAAAATATTTTAAAACATTTGTAAATGTTTAAAAATTATTTAATGAAATTTATAAATCCAATCTCACCCTTTAAATAATAATCACTAAACTTTACATTTAAGCGTTAAAATATTTTTGATCATAGATATTTTTCAAAAAGTGATATTTAATTAATGATATTTTTTAAAAATTCTTCTTATGTTTCCTTGATAGTTTTCATGATCCATTACATTCTTGCAAAAACACAATCAACGGTTCCAAATCAACTAACAACGATGATAAGTTAGAACAATATTTAAAAACGTTTTCCTTACTCAAGACTGAAGGGAAACTCTTTTGTATACGACCTGACAAAATATTCGAAAATATAGGAACTCGATCTAGCTAGTGATTAACATGCGTCTTCCAGTCACTCTCCAGTCTCCACAATATGGCTTAGTTGTATATACATATTCTAAAGGGTCACATTAAATCTAAGCCGTCCATGCGTCAAGCGGCAGCCACGAATCGTAGCCGTAGAAATGACGCGATGATGGGAATCAAGAAATGGAGTGCTTGTCCCACGTGTTGGCAAAACAGAACACACGGAAGCAAAATGGTCAGCTCTTACGGCAGCTTAACGTTACGACAATATCCTTAATCTGTTTCCTTGACAGACGGACGGTTCTAGTTCATTAATAGAAATAGTGCAAAAATCAACGGCTGCGTTTCGACTTTTGAATGTAATGATCTCACTCACTCTCATCGAGTGCACATACTTGCTTCACAAGAACGCTAACTAACTATTGTCTCCTGATTCTTGAGCCAGAGTGGGTTTTAGAAATCATGGCAGTGCATTGTGGGCTCATTGGTTTCTTTCATTTCTTATCTCAGGTAATTATAATAATATGAAATGCTATATATACGTCTGGTTTAATGTTAATTGGATTATAACTTCTAACTGTTTTTAAAGCTTTTTTTGCAAAAATAATCTTCTAACTGTTTTTAGCGTTTAAAAAAAACTTATATTTTTCTATTTTTCTTTATATATTTTTGAAACTAATTTTTTTATATATTTTTAGCAAAAAGAAACTGAGGATTTACATGGATAGGTAAACTCATGGATAGGCCTGTGCATGGATAGGTAAACTCATGGGGAAATGGGTGTTTTTGCTGTCTTTCGTTTGCTGTCTTCTTGGTTATGGTTTGATCAAGAATTAAAATGTGAATTCTCATTATAATAAAAAGGTTCGAGTATAAAAGGTATTGAGATGTTAACATAGAAATTAAATGTGGTTTCATAATCAGGATGTTTGAACTAATATCTAATCTGATCCCTAATTTTTTTAATAACGTCTAGCTAAGTAGTTTCAGTTACCAACTTGTTCTCAATAGAAACCGAAACAACGAGTTTATGTTTTGCCTCAAACGAGTTTATGTTTTGCGTCAAATAGATTACTCGTAGAATTTACAAAGCCAGAGCTAAGGATCAATGCCAATGGCTGTCTTGTGAAAAAAATGAGCAATTCATTTCCATCAAAAGGAGTAGAGGGAATTAATAGCCATCAAAAGGAAAAGGCAAGTGTGTTTGTTTTTGGGGTAACGTAAGAACAAGTATAAGAAAACAAAAAAAAAGATACGTTGAATCGATATTTCTAAACATATGAAGCCAAACAACCATCTTGGCACCAAGACAGGCGTATCCATAGATGTTTGAAAAAGTTATTACCCCCTCGATTTATACAAAAACCCCTTTCAACATTATTATTAGTTTTTAACCATAATGCTTAAAATTTCCAAATTTTCCCTTTTTCCGAATTTCTTGAATTTATAGAGTTTATAGTTAAAACTAAATTCACAGCAATTTAAACCATTTTATTGTTTATAAACTAAAACTATTACACCAACTTTTAACTTTATATATATATTTTAGTGTTTAAAGTTGGAGTTTTATGAGCTAAACCAACTCTGATTAAAACTATACGATCTTGTTAATGTAGGAAATTCATACAGATATCTACTAAAAGATTTTTTAATCTCCGACAGAATGACAGAGAAAACAACAACTCTGTGATCGTATTCGTTACAGAAGTCAACAAGTCAATGACAAAAATCCAACAACAATGCTCTTGTCATCTATAAACTAATGAATATTAATTAATAATTAATTAGCACATTATTAAGAATAGTAATCAAAATGAAGAAGATTACGGAAGCAGTAATCTTGTAATTGGGTTGCCCTATAAGACTCGTCACACACCACAGCTCACAAAGCTTGTCTTCTCGTTCAGACTTCCAATACTCTTCTCCTTCTCTCTTTCCACCTTCTGCTCTGCTCCACCACCTCCTCCTCTCTCTCATATCTAGAGGAAGTGTTAAATTTGTCTTATTTATGCAATAAGGACCACTTCCTCTCTCTATAAAAACCTCAAACTCTCTCACTCTCCGATCTCTCTCTCTCTCTCTTCGCTAACTCTTCCCCAGTCAGAAATTGCAATCTGCCATCTCCAAGATTCTATGTTTTAACTTTGTCTTTTTAACAGGTTTGCATATATATTGTTACAAAAACTACTTTCCTTCTTCACTCCAAGGAAAAATACTGTTTTTTTTTATTATTTGGTAAAAAAATAATCCATTTTTATCAGTGAAGAAGAAGAAATGCAGGATCCATCAGCTTATTACCAGTCCATGATGGCGAAACAACTACATCAGCAGCAGCAACAATCGCAGTTTCCAGACCAAGAACAGCTAAAGTGTCCTCGCTGTGACTCACCGAACACTAAATTCTGTTACTACAACAACTACAACCTGTCACAGCCCCGTCACTTTTGCAAAAGCTGCCGTCGTTACTGGACCAAAGGCGGCGCTCTCCGTAACGTCCCCGTCGGTGGCGGTACTCGCAAGAACGCAAAACGATCCACCTCTTCCTCTACTTCTCCTTCCCAAAACAAGAAGGCCAAAACTCCCGATCCGGATCATGATCTACAAAACGGAACCAAACCGGATACAGATCCGACCCGGATGCTGTACGGGTTTCCTATCGGAGACCAAGACGTGAAAGGAGTGGAGATGGGTGGTGGTGGGAGTTTTAGCTCGCTTTTGGCGTCGAATATGCAGTTGGGTCTTGGTGGGATTATGCTTGACGGGTCGGGTTGGGATCCAGGTATGGGGTTGGGCGTGGGTTTGAGGAGGAGCGAAACGGGTAACGGAGGAGGTGGTAACCCGTGGACCGATCTGGCTATGAACAGAGTGGAGAAAAATTGATGATGAAGAAAAGGAAGGGTACTTTCGTAAATTATGGAGATGCAAAACTGATTTTAGATGACTTGAGTCATCACGTAGACAATTAACAGGTTCGATGTTATGTCATTTTCGTATTATATTCCCCTCCTGTTACTACTCCCTTTTGTTATTTTATATAAAATCAGTTTGTTAAAATTCTAATCTCTTATGTAATAGAAGAATTTCAGTTATTTTTTCTGCGAATTCTCAGTTGATTGTCTTTTTGTTTTTTCTTTTTAATATGCACTACTCACATACAAAATGTAGTGAAACACTTGCGTTAGTGTTTCAATAAAAAGAACACTTGCATTAATTCTAGAACAAGACTATCTACAAAACTCATGACGTCAATGAGAGTTAGTAGTAAAAATGTTAGTAAAAGACTTTCATTAGTTGTAGAACAATCCTATCTTCGAAATTCATGACGTTAAATGAATTGTTGGCCACAGGATTATTGTTATTATATGTTGAACTGTGAGGTACTTATTAGCCGACGATTTTATGTTACTGGTTCGAAGCCCTTTTAAATATTCGCAGAATAGGTTCTTCAAACCGAATATTAGAATTATGTAATTGTGCATGACACTGACATAGATCAACAACATTCTTACGGCATGCGATTTCGTAATGAAAATAATCACTTTATATAGTCACCTAAGTTCTAGAATCATGATATTGACTCAGTCGCCTGTGTTTTCCTTGAGTTCAAAATTGCATTTCCTATGTTGTATAATTTAAATAGTGGTTAAACATTGTATTTTTCAATTATTTAGACAAAGAAGACAAAAGTTTACGTCACTAAGAACATTTTGTTTTAGATAATTTTGAAATAAGTGAAAAATAGCAATCCGGAATATTTTATTCCTCAAATACTTATGCTATTTTGTATTCATTGGTCTTTTAAATTTGAAACATCGTTTTGTTAATTACTATTACTAACAACTTTTGTACTCATTACAAACTCGTTTAACACGCGATTGACATTCACAAAGGGTGGCGAGTGCTATGGTTTTTGACTAAAGTTATAAATAACGGCTATGGCATTCTCACAGATTAATATGTAGTCCACATCACCGTTTAGGTGATTTTATATACCGGATGAAGTTTGTTTAATGATCCTATGTATTTTATATTGAGAGAAGAATCACCTAGAAAATGTGATGTCGACTATAGAGTGATCAGTACTACTTTCATTTTTGAACAACAGTAATCAGTACTATGTATCATCTTAATTTACGGATCAAACATTCGTATCTATCAATACGCGTTGTTGTTTTAGGCAAAGCTATGAGCTATGGTTGTAATTGTAGCATGACTGTTGTTCTACACCCGAGTAAATGTAAGTGGTAGCTATGAGCTATGGTTGTAATTGTACGCATGACTGCTATTCTACTACACCCGGGTAAATGTAATGCTTAGCCCAACATCATACAATGGCTGTAACTGGAATGCTATTTGGGGAGTAGATTTGTTTAGAATGCATCATTCTATTGCGATCCATAAAATATTTATGATCAGACACAATGAATACCATTTCATAACAATTCTATATATTCTATTTTTGGAATGAAACAAAACAAAAACCATTTGCAAAATCCATTCCTTTTGTTCCACAATATAAACTCTCGTGAATGAAAGAAATAAGTGGAATTAACTACTCCATTAATACTTTTAGTTTCTATTTCATTTTATTTATTATTCCATTCTTGCTATTCCAAAAATATGCATTCCTTTTATTCATGATATTCATACTAAGAAAACCAGTTACAGCCAATATATACTAACTATATTTTCTCACCATATTGGTTGAGTACATGTAACATCTGATCATTGACACTCCAAAATTATTAAAATGCTATTGACATTTATGTCACGGACCGCAATCTCTTAATTCATATTTATAAAAGATGAATTATTTCACCTCAACATACTTCTAGCTTAGATTTTTTGGTTCGATAAATTTGTTTTGGAAATAGGAAGATAGAGAGAGATATGAGAGATCCAATGTGGTTACAAAAAATTGCTCTTTCGATTTGAGATATTTTGTATTTGACCGGGGAGACAAAGAACAACAAGTTGCATTTTATATTATTTATATACGGTTTCCTTTTACTTTTATTTTCACTGAAAAATTTTAGTTTACAATTTTTTTTTTTAAATCGTGAATGGAATGCATCGCAGGCGTGATTGCATGCCATGTCCACTCAAACTCTATGATCAGTGTCCACTCAAACTCTATGATCAAATGCACCAAGGCATATTTTGCAATCCATGTCAAATCAAATATTCAATCTCGAATATTAAAATTAGGCCCTGATTAATTAGGTCTTGACGTCCAATCAAAATCATAAGATTATGGTTTGAGTGTTGCCAGATAGAGTAAATTTTTTTTATCAAACCTTTTCCATTACAAACTTAAATACCGTTTACAATTCTAGAAACAGAGTTTTGTTGAAACAGAGCATCCTTGGCCAACTGATCAGCTGTCATATTATAAATACGATTGATAAATTTAAAGGAGATAAATTTCAAGAAACCACTCAACACACTGATGTCATGGAGAATAATCACATACTTATTTCCTGTGATTAGAGAGATAAGATTTCTTGAATCAGAGAAACAAATCAAGTCTTGAATTTCATGAGCAATAGCAGCTTCCATAGCTGCCTTTAAAGCCACGCCTCCGCCATTAGTACATATGCCACCACTTTAGATGAAGTCGAGCCTTGGACTAGCGTGGATCAATCGGGTTTCAAGCAAATCCATCCCAAGCCTCCTGAGCATGTGGAGCTGTTCCAGGCAGCATCGGAGTAACAAGAGAAGATATTGTCATTTACCTGAGGGGCAGTAGGCGATTGAATCCGAGCTTCAGGTCTGGGACAGTCTTTAGGCGAATCTGAAGGGGTTTTAATGCTTGTGTTGGCATTCTGCCATTCACGAGCTGTCTTGACGGCTTTATCCAATACCTCAGATTATGAGAAAGACTTGTCTTCGAAGCATAATTTTTTCTAATTGTCCAAAGAACCCACAAGATCCAAGGGTAAAGTGGGACAGAACAACCCAAAGGTGGTAGGTTGATCATCTGTTTGCAGGCCTTGAGTAGATCCTTAATCGACGAACACGAAGGGCCAGATGGTACAAACATAGTAGGGCAAGACTCCCATAATCTTCTAGCAAATGTATAGTGGAACAAAACATGAAGAACATATTCGTTTTCTCCACATCTTTTACACCTACCATCAACTTGCATTCCACATTTAAGGAGGGACTCACCTACTGTCAGCGCATTAAATCTTCCAGAGAAACTGCCAAATTTTTGGAGAGCAAGTGATATTCCAAATACATTTCCTCCAGTTAAAACCGTGGTGTTGTCTTTCCACATTGAGCTTTACAGAAGCATATCCTGTCTTTGTTGAATATTGTCCCGATTTGTCCAAAAGCCATACTAGCACCGTCTTTCTTCTGTAGGGAGCTCGGGACAATCTTTTTGATGAAGACCTCATATTGGGATAAGAAGAGCTTCAACTTCTTTACATCCCATACTGTTGAATTAGGATATAAGAGATCACAAACCATCATATCTTTAGATTCTATTGATGGGGGGACCGTTGGGACCTAGTTGTTGAGTAAAGGACAGCCAGCTTTCACCCCAAACTCTAACTGAAGTCCCATTCCCAATCATCCAGCCTAATTCCTTTTTTTTTCAACAGATCACGGCCCGTAAGGATGCCTCTTCACCCATGCGATGTAGCGTTAGGAGCAGAGCAGTTTAGAATATCGTCAACCCGACAATACTTATTAAGAAGAGTCTGGCCAATCAGAGAGTTGGGATTTTTAGTAGTCTCCAAGCGTGCTTAGCAAGAAGGGCATCATTGAAAATTTCAATTTCCTTAAAGTCCAGATCTCCTTCTCCTTTGGGTAAGGTAAGAGTATCCCAAGCAATCCAGCACATTTTTAGAATCTCAGGTTTAGCATCCCTCCAGAACCGGGTAAGGACACTTTAGATCTGCTTGCATAGAGATTTCAGTAACTTGAAACAGGACATGTCATATGTTGGCATTGCAGGTAGCACTGTCTTCAGCAAGATTATTTTCCAGCACCCGAAAGGAATCTTGCCGTCCAGCTATGTGATCGCTGCTTAATCTTGTCCACAACGCTTGCGAAGATATCTTGTTTACGTCTTCTGAAATGCTCCGGTAGGTCCAAATACTTCAATATTCCTCCTTCGTTGGAGATCTTTAACTCCCGTTTTGCTCGCTCGTTTGCTGCCTGGACTGTTTTAGAGGAGAAGGTGATAGCAGATTTTGTCCAATTAATGCTTTGTCCCGAGGCAGCCTCATATTTATTACAGATGCACGTCAAAGCTGCACAACTTGAAGAACTGGATTTATTGAAAAACATCATGTCGTCCACAAATAACAGGTGGTTAATTGGCGGACAGTTTCTAGCAACTTTTACTTTTGAAAGGGATAAAAGTGAAACAACCGTACTAAAATAAAAAAATTATTTTTTCTTAAAAGAACGATGAAAGAAAAGTATACACTACTAAACAGTAACCAGCGTAAAATAATTTAAAACTGTATAAATAATTTTATCTTACTGAAAACTTTAGCAGTTGAAATAACGAGAAATAGTTAAAAAAGACATTAATCATGAATCTCAGAGTAAATCAAATAATTGTTTTTTTCTCCCAGGCACTCTTCCCAAGGCCACTAAAGAAAGTTTGACTTCTGCTACCTCCACTGCTTAAAACTCCCCTTCCACCGTGAGACTACAGTATATCCAGCGCACCTACTTTCCGGCGAGGAGGTTTTCTTAACGTTTCGAGCTCCCTAGAGCTCGGCCATCACTTCTACGGTCTTAATTCAGTGATCCTATGGAGAACTTGAAGCAGATCTGGAAAGAAGTATGGTCCACAAAATGTAAAAGCTTTAAGTTTGTCTCCTTGGAGGGGAACAATCCTTAAACTCTGTTACTTATTTTACTATCTACTACAGGTTTACCTCGTCTCTGAGGATTTACCCAAGAGTTGGGTCTTCATCCATACTAGCTATTCCTATTTACTGCATCTCGGCTTTACTTGAGTGGTTGAGAGGTACGATTTATTATGGCGCATCGACTCTCACGATCCGACAAGGAGAAGTGGCTTACGGGCCCATCTAGATCTACCCGCAGACCTCCAGTTAAAATCCCAGCAGTAGATACTAACTCGTTGATAGAGGAGAATAAACTCACTCTCATTGGCAGAGTAACTAATCAAACCATCCATAAAACAAGAGCCCTTATGGATTTCTTTCTTCAACACTGGAAGGTTTCAGGTTCAATAACTGG